AAAAAAAAAAAAAAAAAAGTAAAAATAAAAGTATTAATATTATAATATAATAAAAATATGTATGTTTTTTTTTTTTTTKTACAAATAGATCTTTTTTTTCTTCTTCTTTTTCTTTGTTTGTTTGTTTGGTTTTTTTTTTTTTTTAAATAATTAAGAAAATATATAATATTATGTATTAGAACCAATACATACCATAATATCTAGATTATATCTGTAACTTTAATATTACCATATTCGTTTTTATTTCGTTCGATTTAAAATAGATTCGATTGAATTAACTTTTTTTTTTCTTTTTCTTTTTTTTTTAAGGTTAAGATTAAAATTTGATTAGGATTTTTTTTTGGAAAAGAAATATAAAAAAAGAGAAATGCGTGTTAAGCAATTTCAAAATAAAAATTAAAGATAAATCTTTTTCTTTCCTCAATTGGATTGAATGATAGAAAGAGATTTACCTTGTCCCTAATTTCCTTAATTTCAAAAAAAAAAAAAAAGAGAAAAAAAAATAGGAAAAATATATCAGAACAAAAAAGGAAATAAAAAAAAAAAGAAAAACTTAAATGCAATTTTTGAGTATAATAATTATTAGAAAATATATAAAATAGAGAAGAACACACGACTAACGTAGTGAACGTGGGATTAGGAAGGGATAGTAGGGGTGAGGGTAAAGGGCTAGGGTTGGGGATTTCACGGGGAAAGAAGAAACGTTCGACAAAATTTACTCTCTGTAAGGTTTACAGTAAGAGGAACGGTGATTCATGTGTTGGCTGTAAGAGCCTGAGTGAGAAAAGCGTTTGAGGCACTTAGAGCACTGAAAGGGTTTTTCGCCACTGTGCAACCGCTTATGTTCGGTTAGGTGATGTTTGTGCTTGAACGCTCTTGTACACTCCACGCATTTGTGCGGCCTTTGCCCTAAACAAAAAATATTTATATTACAATCAAACTAAATTTATCATAGTTCATTTAAAATATCACGTAATGATTTTGTTTCATTTGGTTTCATATTTCTGAAAAAAAAAAAAAAAACAAGCATTATTTGATTCACGTATTATGTATAAGAAAAATCAATCTATATATTTTGTTTAGTAATAAAATAATGAAAGAAGATACGAGTGGATATTATAAAGATTATTTTTAGGTTAATATTAATTATAATTTGTTAATATCAATTATTCATTAATAATATAAAATAATATAAAAGTACTTGATTTGAATTTTGAACGATACCAAAACTGACGGAGTCAATTGAAATACTAAACTATTAAATGGCAGTCTTTGAAAAGGTTTGAAGATTTTTGTAATTTATTATTGTTAAATAAAACTAGAATTAAATATAAAATATTATATGCCAACAAAAAAATACGTGATATGAGTTTTGAACGATACCAAAACTGACGGAGTCAATTGAAATACTAAACTAATAAATGGCAGTCTTTGAAAAGGTTTGAAGATTTTTGTAATTTATTATTGTTAAATGAAATTAGATTTAAATATAAAATATTATTTATAATTTATCAACTTACCGGAATGTTCATACTTGTGTCTAGCGAGTGAACTATGTTTCGAAAAAGTTTTGTCGCAACGATCACAAAAATAAAGTCCTTGTTCGGTGTCCGTTGTGGTAGGCTGTTCAACTTTAACTGGATTTTCGTTTTCCTTTTTGGCGTTCCCAAGATTTTGACTCTGAAATAAAAAAAAAAACAAAATCCATTTGTTTATTCTACGAAATCTTTCTAATTATTAAACAAATTGTTAATTGTACATTCAACTACACACAGACACGTCATAATTCATGCAAAACTTCGAACAGAAACAAAAAACAATTGTTCTTTTAATTAGTAAGATAAATTTAACAAAAATTATGCATGTATAAAAAGAAATACCTTTTGCGAAACGTCAAGTACAGAAGGCATACGTTTTGATTCAACAGAATCGTTCATTTCTTCATCAATAACAAGAGGTGAATCCTCAAGATCGTCCGTTTCTTGATTTGCAACAGTCGATGAAGTGTCTTCTTTTTTCTCACAAGGAGGAGAAGCAATATTTCCATTGGATGTATCGGCATCTTTCACGAGGGATATCGTTAGGACATCTTTTTTCGATAAATCCAAGGGTTGTTCAAACGTTGTTGGACTTGAAAGTGGTAACAATGCTGGAATTCTTGATTCCCTACGATCCCTAGCACGGGAATTCTGGAACCAAACCTAACAAAAATACATATTTAATGAAAAATTACTAATTATTCACAACACAAACTTGTGTGTTTACTATATTATTAACCCATTAAGTTGTACGCTCAAGTTAATTCGAGCGGCGTTGTATTACGTTGAGCCAAAATTGTTTCTTAAGGGGTTAAATGTTTGTGCAATGTATGAACGCAGATAAGTTCATTGCATTTGGATATTTAAACTTCAGAACAATTTGAGAACATTGTTAATACATTAACCAATAAAATATAACCAACCAAATGAAGTACAACAATAATAAAAAAGAAAACCATAAATAAATCTATGAATAGACGATTATTATTTGATATTTACCTGTACTACGCGAGTGGAGAAATTAATATAATTCGCAATCATAATTATTTCTTCTTTCTTTGGCCTCGGATTGATAGCATAGTAACCTTTAAGAACAGCCAATTGTTCATCGTCTATTAAAGACCTTGCCCTTACTCTTCTACCATTTTCTGTATGCGTTTGATTACTATCCTCTTCATCATCGGTATCCGGCTCGGAACTATCCTCGTGTTTTCTTTTAGAAGATAACCTGGTGGTGACACCTTGTGATTGATTAGCATCTTCCAATTTGGCAGCTAAACCTTCACTTTGGGAATCGTACTGATCCGCTGTTAACGACCAATCATAATGGGGGTTCATTTCATTCGATATTTCACTATCCTGATCCTAAACAATTAATCAATTATTTATTCTAAGTTGAAATAAATTAGAACATTTGAGAATTAATTGAAATATCAAATACTTACGTGATATTCTCCAAGTTCACTTTCAAATTCTCGTCTCATAATAGGAGAACTGAATATTGAGGTAGACAATTTTTTAACATTTTCTTCTAACAATTCCTTAGTGACAGAGGTATTGACAGTCTCTAAAATACGACGAACAGCATCCAACCCTCGAGACCCAATCGGTGCAGGTGACTCCTTTCCTTCCGTACCTTCCGTACCCTCCGAATCCGCAGTTAATGGACTCATCGTTTCACGATGGGTCTCAAATTTTTCTGTTATTTCGTCGAGTCGTTTGGAATGCACTTGATTTAATATTTTTCCTAACGAGGATTGTAGGAAATAATTGGTAAATCCCATCATAGGGGGTATAAGACTTGGTCCGTCGTAAATACCTGGATAAATAATAATGAAATGGTGATTAAATGAAATGGTCATTTTTTTATGGTGTTTAGATGTTAGATATAGGAATGAAGAATGTGTTAATGAATTTTATATTACATAATAACTTTTAAATAAAATATTAATATAGGTGTAAACGTTTCAATGTTTTCATGATTTATCACAAGTGATATTTAATGTGTGTATATTGATATCCTATGTTTATGTATATACGTATATATGCGTATCTAATTTCCTTACCACCACCTTCTCGTATTTCTTGATAATCCGAAGGAGAAAGCTTTGGCAGTATCGGTAAAAAAGTATTATTGTTAGCCGCAAGAAGTGTATCATCTCGTCGGGCACCATGAACCGATTGCGTAAGCGTTTTCTTCGAACATTTTTCTATATTACCAATGTTGCTGTTTTGTCTAGACTTCTTCAAATTAACGATTAAGCATTTTTTCGATGTCATATGACTCGAATAAGAACCAGAATGTGAAAATCTTTTACCACAGTTGTTACATTGAAATGGTTTCTCGCCGCTGTGTATACGCAAATGTTCCTAGAAAATCAAAGTACAATAATATTATGATAAGTATTTAAATGAATAATTTATATTATTTTTGATTTATTAACAATTTTGTTTACCTTAAGATGATGTTTAAATTTGAACGCTTTTTCACAATGGGGGCACTTGAATTTTCTTAAAACAGCACTTTCGTCGTGGCTGATCATATGCCTTTGTAATCTGTAGACATTGGCGAAGGTTTTGTTGCACACTTTGCACGACTGTAAAAAAAGAAACATATATATATATATAAATAAAAGAAAGGTAATATTAATTTAATGTATACATATTTATAAATTATCAACATTTGCAAAAGAAAACAAAGGGTTCTAACAACTTGTGAAAATCGTGCATTAAGATGAATTCATATTTATAATTAAAACTAAGTTTATGTTATCAAAAATTATCAAAAGGGTTCTAACCACTTGTGAAAATTGTGCGTTAAGATCATTTTTGTCTGCCGAATACAACGTCTTGTGAACATCCTCTATATGAAGTTGAAGTACGTGAGCGTTCCGGAAGTGAATACCGCAGTGAGGACAAGTTTGGCCGTTTTCTTGTTTCATCTTCGGCCCTTCCTCGTTTTCATCGGCACCATCGACACTACTATTACCACCACCACCAGGATTACTAATTCTTCCATCAATTCCATCATTGCCGCCGAGGCCAACACCACCAATCCCGCCGATCCCAAGAATTTGTTGACCGGAACCAGCACTGGCACCACCACCACTACTGGCACCACCTCCACCACCATTGGCACCACCGGTACCACCGCCACCGCCACCGCCGGCATCCTCGTCGAGTACGGCCGACGTGGCTTCAGCGGCTAAACCTTCGGCTGTAGCCGTCTTCACCTTCGTACCTATATCTGCAACACCTGCTTCGTCCTCGCTGGAATCTAATTAAATCAAAGGTAAAAACAAAATGTCAGATAATTCTAATTATTTAATATATTATCGTCATTTTCATTCAAAATCAAACAAAAACAATCAACATTATACATAAATAACGGGAGGAGATGATAAATGCAAAAGAACAACAAAAAATACAAATTACAATTAACAATAAATAATAATAACAACAACAATAAAATCATGATCCACTAATCCAAAGTTGCAAAGCCGCCTGCAATTCTGGGAGGGTCCATTGTCATCTGTTAGGACTCATCTACGTGTACAGATATATATAGGTTGCTATCTAATACATAACACACATACATATATGTATATATATATCTATGCAAAAAGACATTCCCCTCTCTTCTCTTTCTACCCCACTAACCCCCTCTTCTTACCGGTCCTTTCGCACGCGGCTTCGCACGACACCCTGTGGCTGGCCCCTGTTGTGGGTGCCTGCTCTGCCTGCCTGCCTGCCCTACACTGCTGTGCTATACGAGACGCCCTTCCCTTACCTTTTCTTCCCTTCCCTTCCCTTTCTTGCTTGCTACACATGAGATGCCACGCACGCGTCGAAATGAGAGTACAGAGTACTGAACACTATGACAACCTCTACGTTCACGACGACACAACGACTATGACGATGAAGAGATGACGTCGACACGCATACTCGAAAAGACTACCACCACCACCACCACCACCACCATGAAGGGGGAAAAATGACACATGACCGTGAGTCCGTTCGAGCCTGAATAACTTTTCGGCCCTATCATTGTAGTACCCACAGCAGGGATTCAAATCTTCCCTCCCCCACTTTTATTTTCTTTCTATATATATATATATATATGTATACTATAATTCAGCATTCGTGATCATGAACCGTTCATGAAATGCAGACTTTGATATGTGTGTGGTTGAAAAAAAAATGCCCTTTGTCCTAATCTATTTGATTAGTTAGATTATACTGAACGTTCTTTTCAACTTTGTACCTTTATTTCATTCACGATGACTAATCGATGACTGAGGTATATTTAAAAAAAACTTTCTTTACTTTCATCCGACTGACGTAATTTTATTTTATCTCAACCAATTATATTCGTATGTTAATTAAGATAATAATAATAATAATTATTATTTTAATATAATTAACATACGAATCAAATGTTAGTAAAATTTGTGTTACTTCAGGTAACACAAATTGGTTTTTGTTTTTTATGAAGTCAAAAATTATTTTATATAGGGTGAGTGTGAAATATTAATTTACAAAAAAATACACGAATTTTTAATTTAACCCTAATATACATATACATATTTGTGTGTGTATGATTTGTTATGTTACTATTAAACGAAATGTATTGTATCTTCATCCAGTTAGATTTCGTACGTCGTTCGTATATGAAAAACGAACTTTGATCAGCGTGCACTCCGATAAGATGTTGAAACAGGTCACAGCCATGACCTTTTCAGAGCCTTCCTGTCCACGCATCATGGATCACATTCCTCTTTTTCTCTCTCTCTTTTCTCATTGGTTTTAACTAACTAACTTATTATTATGTATGATATTTTATTAATTTTTATTATATATATATATACGCACCTATATAATAAGTATAGGTAATAGTATAGTATATATATTATTATAATTTATATATAATATAATAATAATTTTATAATTAATAATTAATAATTTTAATTTTATATATTATTATTATTATTATTATTATTATTATTATTATTATTATATTACTTATATAAAATAATAGTAGGTAATATATATTTATTAATATTATACTACCTACATAAAATTAAAATAAGTAATATATATAATATAATAATAATTTTATAATTAATAATTCATAATTTTAATAATATTGTGGTAATATTAATTTTAATTTTATATTATATTATTTTTTATTTAATATTTTTTATTAAATAAAAATAATAAAAATAAAATATATCAAATAATATAATATTTCCTATTTGGTTTCTTATATATATATATGTATATGTAATTAGTGTATCTGGGTAAGGAGAAATTAATTATGCGAATAGAAAAAAATGGGAGAGATTAGATTTACAATTAGAAACAAAAAAAAAATTGGTATCTTCCTTTAAAGAAGGTATATCTTTGTTCCATTTATTTATCAATAATGACCCACTTTGTTATATTCTCTTTTGTTAAAAGTTTTTATCTTTAGATACAAATATACGCCTAACTTATTATTATTATTATTGAAAATATCAATTTTAATTGGACTAAATGTTAGTTCGTTAACGATTGAAAATTTAATAGTTTTTTTTGTTTGTTATGATTTTATTTTATCTTATTTGGGGTTCATCTCAATCTGATCGAAGATGACGATGACTACTACTACGATGATGATGATGATGATGATGATGATGACGATGACGATGTTATTCAACCAATGATGTCAATGGAATGTGGAAAGGGCAATATCTAGCAAATTGCGTGATGTGTATTCTACTTTAACGTGTTACACATCTTGCTTATAGTTTGATGTATAGATCATGATCTTAAATGGATCGTTAGAATGAAAACAAGAATGATCTTTGAAGATTCAACCAATAATAACGAAACTATATCATTCGTTTAGAAATATATATGTATATGTTCGATATTACAATTTTGTTTTTGTTCTTCAAAGATATAATATATACACACTATTATTAACCTCAAATTACTTAATTCGCATTTATTTATAATATAACAATCTTAATTAATTAAATATTTATTCAAATTTATTAATAATATCAAAATTTACGATATATAATATCTTAGATTATTTAATTTGTAACAAAAATAATTGATCGTTTATCTAGTGTATCATAATTTTCATTGGTTAGCTTTTGTTTTGATTCACATTAGTCAAATGAGAGTTTATTTACGATTTAAGATCATCGATTTTACTACGAACTTTATTATTTATTCCTGGAATAAATTATATCAGACTAGAAAGTAAAAAAAAAAAAAAGCATACGTAATACATGATTTTGTTCATTTTTAAGGTTAGAAGACTTATTAGGAAAGAATTCCTGCGGTCTGGGTTATACTTTCTAATTCAACGTGAATATCTTCGTTCATTTCGTCATTTTCATGTATACTCGAGAAAATAGAAAAAAAAAGAAAAAAAAAGAGAAGAAAAAAAAATCTTAGAAATTCTTTGAGACCACTTATCCTTCGTGGTCATGAATAAAACCGCATATCTTTTTCTCTTTCTTTCTCTATTGACTTTTAAAATATTATATTCCTTGAATTTACTTTCGTTCTATTTCACGTGACATTATTATAAATAATATTTAAAAACAAATCTTTTATTATTTTGTTTCTATCAAATTTCAATCTAATTTAAATATCTAAGAATCGAATATCGTGATATAAAATATACTAATCACGTGATCACTATATTAATCACGTGATCACTACACTAATCAAAGTTTATACAAATTTCAAAATAATTCATTTCAAAAGTATTTTCTAATGAGAATTGTCAAATTAATTAAAACTTTAAACTAAGATTCAAACATACATATATATATATATAATTTAATAAATGAACACATATATAAGTGTGCAAAACAATTCGAGTTACATTAAACTCCATTCGTAATTATCATTCTCAAGAGAAAACGAATAATCAACCATAAACGGAAACGGAAAGAGCAATGATCTTTTTTAACCGTATCCTGTTGAAATAAAAAATGTACATGAGAAGTAAACGAATGGAGAAGAACAAAACAAAAAAATATATAAAACATTAAACGGATAACCAAAAAATATATTCGGTGTGACCGTAACAAGAAATGGGTTTACTTGAACCAATGGTTCAATGATAAAGAAAATGTAAAAAAAAACAAAAAAAAAGGAATAGAAAGAACTTATTTATTAGGTGAACAAAATATGTTATGGTGGATATGATAAAAAGTTAGAAGAAGTATGGTAGCCATGCCCTTAGACGGAGATGAAAAGATGGGCGCACGCTTACGTCATCAAAAACGTCGGAAAAAACGGATGGCGGCATACTACTACTGCGTGAGTGTTAGTATGGGTTGCTATAAACTTATGGAACGAGTAGAACTGACGAAGATAGAAAAAGTCAAAGAGTACAAGAGAGAAAGAGAAAGAGAGTGAGAGAGAGAGAGAGAGAGAGAGAGAGGGAATTAAAGGCGCGTTTGCAGTTAGAAACACAAGAAAGAAACAACAGAAGCTTTAAGTAGAAAACCCAAAGTTTCATCTCTTCATCTTCAACATCATCTTTAACATCATCTTCATCTTCATTTTCTACTCTTGAAAAATATATTTTATATATCGTGCGTGTATAAGACGATGCACTAAGAAACAAGGATATAAACCGTGCTACGTGTGAGCCAAGTAAACGCAATTTCTCCGACTGAATCTCTGAAGAGAGTGAGAGAGAGAAAGAGAGAGGTCATTGAGCCTGATAGGGCGCGGTCGCCATCTTCCATGACATTAAAACTATTTCGATGCCTTCATTTTCTTTTCTTTCCTTGACTTTTTTTTCCCCTAGCCTTTTTCTTTGTCTTTCATTGTCTTTCATGTTAATTTTCAATTTTCAAATTTGAATTCCGAATTTGAAATTTTTCATTTTCTTCTTTTTATCTCATTTTTATTAACAATTGTTTTGTAGATGCTGTATACTGTAATTATGATCGTGTAAAGTTTAATAAATAATATGTTAAGATTGTTAGTGTGATGTATTTTGTTTAAAGATTAATTTGTATTGTAAAATCTGTTTAAAAAAGGGGGTTGGGGGAATTAATTTTGGAAAAGTTTTTGTTTATGTTAGATTATAGATAATATAATCTATAAATATAATATATATATATATGAATGTTGATAATTATGACGATGAAACCATAATTTGTTAATTGAAATAAATTAGTAAAAAAAAAGGCAAGGAATATTATAAATTTGATTTTATATTAATAATAATTAATATTATCGCATAAATCGTAAAATCATTTAAGCCATTATCGGTAAATATGTATGTGTGTGAAGAATATCAAATTTTCATGTAAATTGTAAATATGTGATACACTAATGAATGACGTGTATTATTTATTTTTTGTCTATTAAAAAATAATAAAAACAAATTATAAAAGAAATCAATGTTAATTGAACAAATTCTCTGACGCAAATCAATTAAATTTATTTTAATAATCGTGCAACACATAACCTAATAAATTTGATTAGAAAAAATTATTGAAATTAATAAATAAATATATAAAAATATTAAATTAATATAAATTAAGGTGACAATTAAAAACAAAAAATAATATATATATATATATATATATATATATCAACCAACAGATACAAATTAATAAATTAATTTTGTATTAATTAATTAAATCAATGTTTCAAATTTAACCGCCATACTTCTACGCATTATTATTATTATTATTATTATTATTATTATTATTATTATTATTATTATTATTATTACTATTACTATTATTAATAATATTATCTTCATTACGCTGATAGTTCATCGTTGAAATAAAATCGAATATTTAAAAGAACAAACTAATGATTGAAATAAAAAAAATAAAAAGAAAAATAAATGACGTGTGCACGCATAGTGTGAGTTAAAAATTACGCATGCATGTTATAGAAATATATATATATATATATAAGTCCCCATAAAGTAAAACGCAGATTCGTTTTGTTATCAAAAACGAAAGACAAAATAATAATCGTTATAAGAGAGATAACACGATGCGAATATCTCATAAAGAAAATATTTGCGCGTCTCTCAATGAACAGTCTGACGTATTATTATTATTATTATTATTATTATTATTGTTATTAATATTACATATATATGTATCACCTATGTGTGTACATTAACAAACAGTTCAACATTTAACACGAAGTTTATGAAAATACAAAGTTTATTTTCCGTTATAATATATATATATATATATATATGGATACAAAGAAAAAATCCTAACCTCTTTCACTGAATTTATGTTTCAATTGTTTTAATCGTGAAATTTGAAGGGGGGGGGGAGAAATATATTTTTTTATATATATTTTTTATTATTGTTAAATACTAACGTTTCTCTAATCAATAACTAATGTGCGCCATTTTTTTTTTTTATCATCACAATGACGCGAATTATAAATTCTTATCGAAACTACTACGTGAGTCTTTGGTGTTTGTTTGTTTTATTTTTTTTTTTTTATTTTATCTTCTTCTATTTTTCTAATACGCAATTTAATTCAATAAAATGTTAAATAGGAAAGACGAATATTTAAATAATTATTAAAAATATTAAACGAGGAAGAAAATATTCAAATAAATTTACAGACATTTGTAGAAGATTTTTGTAAACTCAATCTGTCAATTATAATCAACGATAACAAATAGATATTTATATTCATGATTGTGTGTGTGTGTATGTGTGTATACATTGTACGACTAATTTTTTATCTAATTAATAGCAATGCATTGATGCATTTTTTGTGCATAATTTTAAAAATAATTGTATCTACGTAAATGAAATTTGATCTCAATTTGAATTCATTTGAAATTGAATTATTTGTAAAAGTAATAATATAGGTTAGAATATTTTGACAGTAATTATTTATATAAAAAAAAAAAATAAAAAAAAAAACATTATTAAATGTATAATAATTTTGATACTAATTCGAAATAAAATATAAACATTTCAAAATAACAATATTATCATATTTAAATAATTTATAATACATAAAGTTAATTTAATTTATCAATAATGAATCACAAACAAAAATTAATCATCCAATAAATATCAAAATAATCTAACAAATGAAAAATATAATTACAAGATCAAAATTGAATAAATAAGTAGGACTATTATTAGAATGAGAAAAACAAAAGTAACAAAGCGTGAAAACATTTCTATTTTTTTTTTCTTTTTCTTTTTCTTTTTCAAAACGATTACTCTACAAACAAGAATGCGTAATAACCAGAATGACGAAATATTAAAGTAGATAATATAAAAAGAAAAAGAAAAGTATTGAGAGAATCATACAAACCGAACAATAATAAAAATTTATCTTTGTTTTCTTACGTTCGTTGACTCTCTGGTTAGAAAAAAAATAAAACCATTTAAATGGTTAACAATGGTTAACGATGAAAAATGATCAAATATTCATGGAAATTATTTATAAGATAAAAATCAATCTTTTCTTATCTCAACGTGTAAACTTTTGTACCTTACACTCACACACACACACGTATCTCATATACAGTAATTAAACAAACAAACGAAACAATGATTAACAATTAAAAAATCTAACTTTTCAAAATATCATGCGTAACAAATTACAATTAACACTAGAAATACCAGGCCAGCCATTTTAATTTAAAATTTCTACTTCAAGTAACATTTTGATTTCTATAAATAATTTCCAAATGTCTATAAATTCAATCATTTATTAAAATTATTATCGTTAAACATTTTTTTCTTATTTTTTAAAGAGTAAATAAAGACTGGAAGCCTCAAAAAGTATTTTTTTTTTATACACCAGTTATTTTGACTAGTGTGGTAGAAAAATGGTGGTATATCTAATGCTAAATAAAATACAAAAAATACGATCGATAAAATAAATATCAAAAGAATTATTTCAAATGTGACAAATGATAAAGAAAAATAAAAAAAAAAATATATATATATATATCAAATGTGAAAATGAGAATGATAATGATTACTATAGTTAGTGTATTACTTAATTAATCATTTCTGGGAATAAATATTTGGATTAAAAATTCTTGAAATAGTAGATAAGATCTTTTGAGGTTATCAGGTCACTGTGTTCACGGGAAGTAAGAAGAAGAAGAAGAAGATGAAACACAGACACACATACACACAGAAACAGAAGAAGAAGAAGAAGAAGAAGAAGAAGAACCGAGTTACGAATAGAATCAAAACGATTCAACGAAATCTAAGTGGGGGGTGGTGGCGTGTGTATTCTTTTATTTTTTCTTACTCAACCAACCATTATTTTCCTCTTTTATATTGCTATATTTATATATGGGTATCTATTTAAAAAAAAAATCATTTCCCTTTATACAGTAATTATACTTGAAGTTTAGTTGTCCGCCGTATATAAAACTTCAACAACGAATGACAAGTGGGGATGAATGACAAAGAAGAAGAAGAAGAAGAAGAAGAAGAAAAAGAAGAAAAAGAGGGTTAAAAGCAACTACGTTGCATATGCTGCACATGCGCTTACGACGCGACTAAACAAAACAAAATTACAAAAAAATAAAAAAAAAATAAAAAGAAAGAAGATGAACACAAAAAAAAATAAGAATGAGTGAGAGTATAACCAAGAACGTTGACGGAAGGGACAAAAATAATACGCGTTGTGTCTTAAGTCGTGTGTGTGTGTATGTGTGTGAGGTTATGTTAACTTGAAATTTTTCGTAAATAAAATAACGTAAGTTATTAATTGATTAATTAACACGTTGAGCGCCACGTCAGCCATCGGTGGCTGACACTTCAACTATTTTTCCAATGCAAAGAAAAACCTGTGAACTGACGGGGATTTCCCAATGAATTCGCGTGACGCTCAACGTGTTATGCGAGTAATTAATGAAATGAGTGAGTAAAAAATTAGTAATTTTTTTTTTTGAGTAAGGAATAATATAATAAATTCCTTACCTTCGTAAACGTTCCGACTAAGTGTCATGGTCATAACTCGCGAAATCTCAGCTATTTCGTTTCGCGTTTTGCGCGTTATACTTTTTTTCATTGCCGAGGAACAACAACCGCGGAGATGGACACGCGCGATTTTCTAACGCAAATCCGAATAAATCCTTTTATTCGATTCCGCACTTAACGATATATTATTATTATTATTAGAATATTACGTGTCTCGATAATATTTTTGTATTATTTTTTTTTTTTTTATTTAGATCATCATCTCTTTCAAGAATTCGTCCAACGACGTTTGGTGTAACAACCGCAACCACGCATCATTCTCGTGCACCTTTTCTCTTCTCTTTCTTACTTTCTTTAATATCAAACAAATAATAATAATAATAATAATAATAATAATAATAATAATAATAATAATAATGCGAAGAAAAATATTTAAAAAAATTAACAATAATAATAAAAATAATATTATCTTTCGTATTGGTCGTATTTTATTGTCACAAACACACACACACCCCACCCACTCACTTCTTTATTATTTTATTATAATATACCCCCAAAAGATAAAATAAATGAAATAAAACAAAACAAAAAAAATAAAAATGAACGACGAGTCAAATTTTGTTCTTAGAAAAGCAGGTAAAAAAAACAACAACCCGAGGGTTTTGGAATTGTTGAAGCGTCGCGTACGCGCACTTATCGACCACTTCTTCTTCTTCTTCTTTTTTTTTCTTCTTTTATTTTCCTTTTCTTTCTTTCTTTCTTCTAGTCTTCGTTCTTTTTATTTTATTTTCTTATCTTTCTTCCTTTTCCCCTTATCTTTAGATATTTCAGGTAGTGTTTCCTCCTCCTCCTCCTCCCCCCCCCACTTTCTTTGTGGCCAATATAATTTTATCAATCCTTTCTCTTTCTTATTTCTTCTTTTTATTTATAAGAAGAAACTTTTTCAACCAATTTTCCTCCAAAAATTCCCCATACACACACCTAACAACGTGTTTTTCTATTTTATTTTCTTCTTCTCTTTATATTTATATATATATAAATATATATATATATATATACACGTACGTTGAAAAGGTGGTGAAGAAGGTTGAGGAAGAAGGGGATGGTGGGGGTGAAAAAGAAGGCGAAGGCAGCGACGACGTAGACGACGTCAACGACGTCAACGACGAATCCTTCCCTCCGGGGGTGTGGGTGAGTGGGTGTCGTCTCTCACGTGGTGGTAAAAAAAAAAAAATATCGAATGGGCCGCCAACGAGTCTCTAACCAAATTTTGTTCTTTTTCCGATACCTCGTAGAAGAAGTGAAGTTCGAAATTTGTTATATCACGTGGACACAAATTAATTTGTGCGTGTGTGTGTGTGTGTGTTCAGGGGTGAGTTAGTATATATATAAAAAAAAAATAAACAAACTTTTGAATATAACGGGAAGCCTTGATATTATGAAAGTAAGAAAGAAACAATGAAAATTAAAATGATATTACAAAGAAAGAAATATTGTCTGATGTCTTTGGTTTTTAAATAACAAAGTTGTTTAAGTAAACACAACAACAATTAGTCTTTTCCATAAAACGTGTATAGAGTAGGTTGAGAATACAACAAACAACACAAGCAGCAGCAACCAGAAGTAGCAGCAGCAGCAAACAAAGTAGAAGAATTGAAGATGTTTTGTTAATCCTTCCCGACGATATAACTGATGATACTGAGATGATGTTGACGATGACGATGACGATGATGAGATTCCACTAAATAAGAATTGTTTTTATTGGAGGTGAGGGGGGGAAGAGAATAATAATAAGAAGCTGAAGAAGGAAGCTGTTTTCTGAGAGACAAGTTGAACAATAATTCGTGGAAGTGTCAATGAAAAATTCTTCTTAATTTTCTGTTCTAATTTTGGTTATTTTGAAATGTTCGGTGATAATGGCCCCGTCACCCGTAGCCGTTGCCGCCAGCGCCGTTGTTGTTGTTGTTATTATAATAATAATAATAATAATATCAATCAATTCGTGAAGTTTGTTCGTTTGTTCCTTGGTTCGTTCGATTTCGTTTTATTCGTTTCTTCATCCACAAGGGGCGCGTGCGATTTACTTGCCTTGGTTCTTCGTTCCTCGCGTCTGACCTATCTCGAATGGGCGGGACGCTGTTATGTCGCCACTGTTAAACTTTGCTTCCTTCCTTTCTTGCTTGGTTTGACTTGGACTTAGGCTTAGGCTTAGTTTTGTTTGATTTCAATTTTTTTTTCTAACGTGTGACGGTTTTCCCGTTTCTCTTACAATTAAAGGGCTGTTAACCTTTGCACACCCGACTCGAACTTTGTCATCAAATTATTATTGGTTTGTTCTATATAATCTTTCTTTTTTTTATATATATTTATCTATATATATATGTATATATATATATATACGTAGGTAAAGTACGTATGTGTGTGTATCTAACTATTCTATGTATCTCAAATCGTATCATTCCATTATTATTTACTTTTACAGGATGATGACGACCGATCGATCGCATCATCCATCCTCTTTCTAGATTGAACACGTCTCTTTGTGCTCCCCCCTCCTCCCAGTAATTATTATTATTGTTATTATTCCTTCCTTTCTTTATTTATTTTTGATTTGAATTTATATTTTTATCTTTTATATACTTCTACGTAGCACTTGTTTGTGTGCATCCATTTAAATTGATCTCATTTTACATTCCACATTTTTTAAATACAATTTTAATATCAAAGAAGAAAACACGGATGACACATTATTCTTTTCTTATTGGAGATTTTTATATTCCGTCCCTTGTCATTTTTCGAATTGAACAGAACGGTATCATCACCATCACCACCATCACCACCAACACCACCATCACCACCCACTAAGCACACTATTCTTCCTGATGAAATAATGTAAATAAGACACAAGAGATGAAACTCTTGAAATAACTAAATTTCACTCAAGCTATATATATATATATACATACATGTATGTATATATGTATAAATATATGTTATCACGAGAACGAAAGCTTTTTACTTTGACATGCTCTTTTTTTATCTTTCTCCTTTCACCTTTATTCTTCTTCTTCTTTTTCTTCTTCTTCTTCTTCTTCTTCTTCTTCCTCCTCTTCTTCCACTTTTCCTCCACCTTCACAATTACACTTGGATTTCTTCGTTAGAAAATATAACTTTCTTTACGAGGAGTGTGAAAGGAAGTTTTCTCTCCAAGGGAATGAAAAATAATGGAAAATCAAAATAAATAAATAAAACGAAAGAAACAAAACAAAAAAAGAAATAAAATTAAAGACGTACAGTAAGATCCTTTTTTTTGACAGGGTGGGTTGAGTTGGAGTATCGACAGAAGATTGGGGAAGAAAAGGATCGGAAGGAGATGATATTCTTGGGGTGGGGCGAGTATGTATCGGTAAAAGAATAAGAATTGAAGTGTGAATAGGGGTAGGAGGAGGAAGAGGAGAGGGTAAAATAAAAAATAAACGAAACCAAACGAAGAGGAAGATACACGGGGTATGGGTGAGGGGTGGAGTGGAAAGAAGAAAAAAAGGAAGGAGGAGGAGGAGGAGGAAAGAAATAAAATAAAAAATAAAAAAACCTAATATCTAATAAGGTGACAGATAGAAATAGAATAGAGAATAGAAGGAACTGGGGGAAAAAGAAGCGAGGAATTTCAGATTGTTCCGTCGATGTTAGGGCATGGTAAGAGTTCGGCCGAAACAGAAGCGTCCGTTTTACACTAGCTGACTCGCTCAAGCAGCGAACACCGGTAAACGCGCTCCCAACTAACACACATTGGAGAGGAAAGATCGGGTACAGCTTTGGAAGGTTACTATAGGATGGGACGGACGATGATGGCGGCTATAGTACAGAGGAGCCACCGCCTCCGTGCTTTTGCTCCCCCTCTTTGACGATTCGGCGCACCGCTTCTTTTCCCACTCCGCCTACAATTCTCCCACCCCCATAAAAAAAGTCATTCCACGACGGCGTCGGCGGTAGCTGACCAATCAGACGCCCTCTCTTCAACAAATCTTACTACTACTATTACAATTATTTATTCTACTACACTAAATACTATTACTATTATTTGCAATAGTGCAGTAGTCTCTTCTTACTTTCATTTCCAACACCTCTACTCTACATGTTACACTCGGTGGACTTAAAATCCCGTCCACAGAGTCTCAGCTCTGTGTCTGCTTCATCTACGACGTAGCTGCCTTCTTCTACCTTCATCTTCTTCATCCTTCTTTTTCATCATCATCATCATCATCATCCTCCTCCTCCTCCTCTTCCTCCTCCTCACCTAAATCCCACCGCACGCGCAACTCACGCCTTCCTCTTCCTTCTCCTCCATTACCATCTCTCCTTCTTTTCTCCTCCCGCATTACCATCTCTACCCATCACCTATCCCTCTACTACTACTATTTCTCTACTACCTCCACCACCTCTCTACCATTAACCATCTCGGATTGTATATACCTTTTTCTCCTCCAGATCCCTCTCGTCACTGTGGCGCCACCGTGCCGGCACACCATCAGCGTCCCTATCCTCCGTCGTCCCTAACTACGCGAGTATTATACTCTCTCTGTATAGCCCTCTTCTTTTTCATCTTCTTTTTCTTATCTTAAAAAATGAAAATTCTATTTTTCTTTTTTCACTCTGCCTAATTTATTTTACTTACTTATTTTATCTAATTTTGTTATCCTTTGCAATTTGACACTAAATCCCATAGTACTAATTACTTTTATTCTAGCTCACACACTTTCTCTCTCTCTTACACTAACTTATTTCACTTACTTGATATGTGCGGTACCATCATCATCCTTTGAGCATAATCTCTCTGTTAGTTCTCTTCGTTCTCTCGGTTAATTCTGATTTATATTTTTCTGTTTTCTTTTCCCTCTTTTCAATTCCTTCCCCTTCTCCTTCCCTCCTCTTTTCATTCCTCTCTCCTCCTGTTCCAGCTCCACCTCCTCATCCTCCTTTCCTTTTTCTTTTTCTTGTTCTTCTTCTTTATTTTCCTTCTTTCGAACATTTGAAGATACCCACCAACTACGATCGATACCATCTGTGTATGCCCACTCTGTGTAAGTCCGTCGTCGTCGTAGTCGTCCTCGTCGTCTTCTAATTTTTCTTATCGGATGACGTTACTCATTAAACCGGAAACTGGGTTTTATATCGTTTTGTTTCCTACTTTTGCCTTGATACCTCTTCTTGTTACTAGTTTTCTTATCTACTTAAATACATGGGAGTGGGGTGGGAGGTAGACATGTTTAATACAATTTATTTCTTTTCTTTTTTATAACAAAAAAGTACATCTCCCATGTTAAGGATCATCAATTTAGAAACTTTGAATGT